ATTACTTGACAACCATCATCAATGTAAATAAATGTGGTTTACAATCAAGCTATCAATGAATCTAAACACTTTGATGCAACCAAATACCCAAGAGAATCTGTTCAGTAGCAAATTCTTGGACTAATACATAGAATTAAGAAAAAAATGTAAAAGAGACCTGTCACAACAGCACGTATAAGAAGTCCTTTGCTGATCTTCATGACTGATATTAAGATGTTAAGTATTAGGAATTATTGAGGAATAGAAGTGTTTATATTAATGAATAAATAAAACAAGAGATGCAAGTCAACAAGGAAGTTGCCCAAAGGGTAATGCTACCTATTACTTGTAAATATATGAAAAATAGGTCTAAGATATAAGAGGGCAATTGAAACTATTAATATCAGCCACGCTACCAGATTCTGCTCCTCAGTTACTGTGATATTCCAAAATAAGAAACAATTAATGCACTGCCTGACTTTTTTCTCTTCTGTAACTTCCCCCCTAATAACCTAACCAATGCATTCACTTCTGCCAGCAACAAGATAGCAAGAAATAATAAAATTCTATGTATTTATGTTTTAAAAATAGTTTCCAAATCTTCAAACAAATTTAATTTCCTATAAAACAACATGAAAATTAATTTTTCCTTCTAAATAACTCTACCAGGTGCCATAGGTAAGATCTAATTAGCACCTCTGCCAATATATTTATGTCTTTGCAAAAAGTGCATTTGCCAACCATTCATTTTATACAGTAAATATGCAAGTTATTTGAAGTGCATTTGGAAAACAGTTGAAAACACAGATTAATACATCATAAAAAGATTAATTCCCTTTAAACAAAGACATTCTTATGAAGCATGGTAACACAGAGGCACAATAAAGAATATAATTCTTGTATATCAATTATTGGCAGAAAATCTAATTCATTACAAAGCCTACATACACCATTGGGGAAAGGACATTTTCATACAAAGAAAAGTACTATACTATTATCCAACACTTTTAATTGGGCATTGAAAAATTTTTGGCACATGAAAAGGAACTGAAAAGACTACAAAATAAAGGACCAAGAAACTAAAACATCATAGATAACGGAGAGACAGTCCTCAAATGAGAAACAACTAAATATTAACATAACATAGAGACAAAAAATAAGCTGGCTGAATTTCCTGAAATGGTGTTATGTGTAACAGAAGTATGTTTTGAATGCAGGATGTTTTTATTCTACTGGCAAGACTTGTCTACCTTGCTGTGGCTGGTTGAACATGGCCTGGGTAAGATCTTCTCGTGCTGGTTGCTTGTCGTTGCCTAGCCAGAAATGACTGCCCTGAACCTGTACTAGCAAGTCTATCTTCAGCCGCCTTTTTATGCAGAGTCATTCCCTATATCACACAGGAAAAAAAGGTAATCAATGAAAAAGTAGTGGAACATACTCTCATAAAAGACAATTTCATCATGCAGATTTTCTTACATTGCATCAGAAGGCACAATTAGAAATGTTAATTCTGCTCATTATAGATTAAAATTTTATAGATATTTCAGTTCCAACAATTAGGTACAAATTTTCCTTTGGAAAAATGAAGAGTTAGTTTTCTGAATAGACAATAACCAAAACAATACATAATAGAGACAGATTTTAGAATATAGTACCGATTCTCAATCACACTTCCCTTTCAAATCAAATGTATGAAGTGATTTTCCAAGAAAAACAGTGCAGTTGATTGGTAGCAGTTGATTCACAAGGGGCTGTGGCAATCAGGGCATATTTAGAATGGCAAACCACAAATGCACTTGCTGTTCCTTAAGGTGGAAAGGCACACTAGATTTCATACATACCACCATGCTGTTTTTCTTCACTTCAGGCGGACTTGTATTCTCAAACAACTTAAGAAAAGTTCCTGACAGCCCCAAACAGAGGCCCAACAGGGAGCAGGGGGTCTTTCTTGAAGACAGGAGGATGGCCTACTAGCTTGGAAGGGAAAAGAGCCATAATTGCTGGGCCCAGAGCACCTTAACAGGTGCTCTGTTAAATAACCTCTGGGGGGTGTACTCTAAACACAGGGGAATAATCACAATGAACAGCCTGTGAGGGGATCAGGAAAAGAGTGGTTTTGGTAGTCATTTAATAAGCCGGTGAAGAACCTACACCAGACAAACATGGAGCACTGAGAACGGCTGCTTAATCTGACCAGTGACTGGATACAAGTAAATGGATGGGAGGAAGTGGAAGGCAACAAGGAGGAAATGAGCAATTGGGAGCCAGGAGGAGGGTCAGGCAGCTAAAGCTAAGCTATACTAAGACTCACAGCCTTCCCAGACCGAAATGGACAAACTGGCACAGAAGGCAGAAGTCTAAAAGATAAGTCTTCCTATCACTAGTCAAAACACTGGGCATGGCTTTGCATTTTTAATAGAATTGCAGTCTATCATATATTCCCCAATACATTAACACATTCCTCCATTTTGCCTACGAGACAATCCAGAATAGGTTTTTCACTCAATTTGAAATCAAAGCATTTAAGGATCTGAATAAAACTGACGGAAATCTATTGGTAATCTTTATTCAATTTGGCTACATATAAGGTATCCCCCAAAATGTATACACTAATAGCTGACAGCTCAATTTTGAAAATGAAAT